GTCAGAACCAACTTGGTGGCACTTAACAACAACGTGATTCCTTAGGAGTCCTGCTGTGGTGCTGTAGGATAAGCACTGGACTGCTAACTACAGGCCAGATGTTTAAACCCACCAGCCACTCCTTGGAAACCCTATACAGGGCTGCTACGAGTCCGAATTGGCTCAATTCAAATGGACTCATACAACAATTACATAATTCCTTAATCAGTAAATTAGAACGTTATTTCTTCCCACTCCTATCATTGGTTTAGTATTTATTTCTTTGTTCCCTTCGTACGGCTTTACCACTTTCTGCCTTATTTTCAAACGGACATTTTTGTATCTCCTTTGTTCCCTAAGGGTATAGCAGGGTCCCATTTTACATAACTAGTGCTTTTGGGGTCTTCTGACTTCTTCTGACACGTGTATAGCATAGAGCTCTTCTTTCCTATGCATCTATCTCATTCAATCCCTGCAGGAAACCTCTGACCAAACACAAAATAAAAAGAATTCTTCCTGGTTATAAAAATAATATCTATTGATTTTATTTAGACATATCCGAAAATAGCAAAGAAGACTCATTAGTAATCTGACTTGCCAAAGAAAAACACTAATCATCTTTTGGGATAGAACCTTCCAGACAGTTCTTTTTGTTTATAGTCACACACATTAGATGTATGTGTATTTAAGAGTTCTAATAATCAAATGGGGTGAAATTATATTGTCTAGTTTTGCAATTTTTGGTAACTTTCTATGTCAATACTCTAACTAAAAATTTCAAGAGACAATGTAGTTTGGTAGTTTAAAGGCATGGTCTCTTGAACCTGTCTCCTGTGTTCAAATCCCACTCTGCCATTTTATTTCCTTGATCTCTTGTACCAGCCTCTTAACTTCTCTTTGCCTAAGTTTCCAGATTCCTAAGATAAAGATAATAATTGTTCCTATCTTATAGGGGTATTGTAAGAAATAAATGAGTTAATGTATGTAAATCAGTTTGAACTATGCCAGCATAGAAACTATAACTATGTTAATTGTTATTATTTAAACAATTGTTGTTGTTGTGTGCCATTGAGTCGTTTCCAACCCACAGTGACCCTATATAAGGTTCCTAAGGAGCAGCTGGTGAACTTGAACAATACATATATCCAAAAATAGATTTATTTATATTATAATTATAGAAGTAATGAGAAATATTCACTATGGAAAATGAAAACATTACAGAAATATATAATGTTAAAAGTTAATCCATATATACCAAAATGTGTCCATATATATACAATATATACACCAAACTCTTAATGGTTACCTAAGACAATGGAATTATTGGTGACTAACTGGTGTGTAACTGTGGATATGCACTGGATTGCTAATCATAAGGTCAGTGGTTCAAACCTACAAGTTGTTCCTTGGAAACCCTACACAGGGTGTCTACGAATCAGAATTGATTAGACAGCTCTTAACAACAACAGCAGCAACTTTCTATGATTTTTTTCATGAATAATTTTTTAAAGTCAAATGAATTCATTGTGTGTGTGTGTGTGTATATGTTGTTGTTAAGTATCGTCAAATCAGTCCCAACTCATTAGCGATCCTACGTAGGTTTCCAAGGAGTGGCTGGTAAGTTTGAACCACTGACCTTGCAGTTCAGTGTTTACCCTACAGCACCATACCAGGACTCTCTCTCTCTCTCTCT